TTCTAGCTATTTTATATTTTTAAATTTAATTGTAAATAGGATTGTTTTCTTAATTCTCTTTCTGACAGATCGTTATTGGTATAAAAAATGCAACCAACTTTGAATATTAATTTCATTTCCTGCTACTTTACTGAATTCATTTATCAGTTCTAATAGTTTTGGTGGATTTTTTAGGGGTCTCTCTATATGTAGTATCATGTCATCTATAAATAACGACTTTTTTTCCTTTCCAATCTGGATGCTTTTTTTTCCTTATTGTTTTTGCTAGGACTTCCTGTACTATGTTGAATAAAGTGGTGTATGTGGACATCCTTGTCTTTTTTCTAATCTTAAAGCTTTTCGCTTTTCACTAGTGAATATGATGTTAGCTATGGGTTTGTCATATATGGAATTTATCATGTTGAATAAGTTTTTTCTGTCTTCACTTTGCTGAGAGTATTAATTATAATAAGTGTTGGATTTTGTCAAATATTTTTCTAAAATCATTTGATTTTTATCCTTATTGTGTTTTAGGCAGTTATTATAAATTTAATTGATTTATAGATGTTGGACCACCTTTGCATCTCAGGAATAAATCCCACCTGATCATTGTGTGTCATATTTTTAATGTATTGAAAAATTTAGTTTACTAATATTTTGATGAGGATTTTTGCACCTGTATTCATCAGACATATTCACCTTAATTTTAATTTTTGTAATGTCTTTCTTTGGTTTTGGTCTGAGGGTAATGCTTGCCTTGTAAAATGAGTGTGGGATCCTAGCCTCCTTTTCAGATTTTTGGAACAGTTTGAGAAGGATAGGCATTAATTCTTTACATGTTTGGTAAAATTCACCTGTGAAGCCATTGGTCCAAAATTTTTTGTTTGTTGGGAGGTTTTTGATTACTGATTGATTTTGTTAGTACTTACTGGTCTGTTTCTTCCTTATTTAGTCTCGGAAGATTGTACATTTATAGGACTTTACGCATTTTTTCCAGTTTGTTTAATTTGTTGGCATATAATTGTAGTATGTTCTTATAATCTTTTGTATTTCTCCGGTGTTGGTTGTCATTTCTCCTCTTTTATCTCTGTTTTTATTTATTTAGGCCCTCTTTTCTTGATGAGTCTGGCTAAAGGTGTATCAATTTTGTAATATTTTCAAAGAACCAGGACTTGGTTTCATTGATCTTTTGTATTTTTTTAGACTCAATTTTGTTTATTTTTGCTTTGATTTTTATTATTTCCTTCCTTCTCCTTACTTTGGGTTTTGTTCTTTTTTCTAATCCCTTTATGTGTAAAATTAGATTGTTGATTTGAGAATTTTCTTGTTTCTTGAGGTAAGCCTGTATTGCTATGAATTTTGCTCTAAGAACTGCTTTGGCTGTGTTCCATAGATACTTTGGGGTCATTGTATTTTCATTTCATTTGTCTTAAATATCTTTTGATTTATTTCTTGATACCATTGTTAGCCCACATATTTAATAGCATGATAAATCATGGTCCATGTTTTTGTGTGTTTTTTAGTTTTCTTCTTATAATTGGTTTTTAGTTTTATATCTTTGTGATTGGAGAAGATGTTTGATATGATTTCTTGATATGATTTCAATCTTCTTAAATTTATCGATACTTGTTTTTTGGCTTACCGTGTGATATATCCTGGAAAATGTTCCATATGCACTTCAAAAGAATGTGTACTCTGCTTCTGTGTGAAATGTGTATCCTGGACATTTTTAATGTTCTGTTATGAGACTCTACGTTTTGTTTAAATTCTATGGAAAATATTGATGTTTTTGTTTTAGTATGCAGTTGACCTGGAGGTAGGTTCATTACACAAGTTGTGACCAGTTTTCTCTGAGTTGTAGTTTCAATGTCAGCTTTGTTTACAAAGGTATTACAGAGCTATTTCATTGTGTCCTGTTTCTGTGCCAACCAGTAGCCATTTTAGGACTTGGAAACCAGGTCCTGTCCCCTAGTTCAGTTTTCAGTCTGTGGTGTGCTGCTTAGGGTCATAACCAGGCCCATGCAACTCAAGTATAAGCCGAGGAGTTCATAAACAACTTTAAGGGGTCACTTTTCTAAGTTCTTCCCTCTCTGTGTCTTTCTGGTACTTTACGGTTCTCTAGGGCTACTATTTTGGTAATCTGGTCAGAAAGCTGCGGCTTCACTTACCTGCCTTGATGGTGTCTGTATCTGGGCCTAGATAGTGGAAGGACAGAGAGCAAAGATGCATTAGGGGGTTTCCCCCCTCTCTTGGGTCCATAACTCCTCTGACTGGAAAGGACCCTCACTTTCAGAGCTTTAGATAGCTTGCTGTGGTGGGCAGAGTTCTAAAGCTACCTTCCTAAGATTCTTGTTCCCTTGTTATTCAATCAAACATTAATCTAGGTACTGCTGTGAAGGGACTTGACAGATATAATTAAGATTACTAAATAGTTGGCCTTAAAATGGGGAGATTATTTAGGTGGTCCCAATATAATACCCTGAGCCCTTAAAAGCAGCAGAGGTGGGCAGGGAGATTCAAAGTGTGAGAGGGATGTCATTTCTGTCATTGGCTTTGAAGATAGGAGACAGGGCATGAGGCCTGGAATGTGAGTAGCCTTTAGAAACTGAGAACCACCCCTACTCTAGTCAGTAAGGAAACAGGGACTCTAGCCCTACAACTGCATGGGACAATTCTAACAGCAGCCTAGAAACCTAGAAATGGGTTTCTTCCTGGATTCCTGATAAGAGGCCAGATCACTGCCACCTTTATTTCAGTTTTGTGGCACCTGGAGCAGAGAAATATCTGAGTCTATTGGATTTCTGACCTACAGAGCTGTGAGGTAATAAAATTGTGTTTTAAGTTGCAATAGAAAATGAATATACCTGCAGACTGCCTTGAGCTAGAGGTGGAAGAAAATAAAGGGAGGGGTAAAAGGCATGCAATTTCCCTTATTCTCTGAATAGTGGGAAAGCCCATTCCTCTTCCTTATGGCAAAACCAAATGGCTTTCCCTAGAGCTCTCTGTTCACATTGTGGGCACCAAGTTCTGGGTTTTGGCTGCATTGCATCCACCTGAGAGATCTTGAGGAGAGAGAGAAGTAGTAAACTTACTACCAGTTCTATGACCTTTCTCAATCTATGGACTACTGTTCACTTTTTAGTGTCCCCAAATAGCTGCTTTATTTATTCTGTCCTGATTTTATAACTGCATTCAGTGGGAGAGACAGGGTAGAGTGTGCTTACTTGACCTTATCCAGAACTGAATTGGTTTATTATGAAAAGAATTTTGTTTTTTGTGTGGAGAGTGGTAATCTCCAGTGGTAGTTTCTGCTAATACTTTAGTGTACATTCTTGCATATTTTTTCTTAAACATTTGTAGGTGTTCTTTTTAAAACAACAACAACAATAAAAATGGGGTCATAATTTTGTAGAGGCTGCTTTTTAAAAAAATTTTATTTAAATTGTTGTTGTAGTACAATTTTCTATCTTTTACTCCCATCCCAACCCACCCACCCAACCCTCCCCTCCTTCCTCCCATTTTGAGGCTGCTTTTTTTCACTTAAAGTATTGCGGGCATTTTTACATGTTAGTAGATACACAGTAATGAACCTCACTTTTTAATTGTGAATAGTAATACTAAAATAGTAGCGACTACCATTTCATTTAACCAGTATGGGAGTATAGTTAATTTGCTAGGGCTGCTATAATAGTATCACAGACGAGGTGGCTTAAACAAACATTTATTTTCCACAATCTTGGAGACTAGAAGTTTGAGATCAAGGTGTTGGCAGGATTGCTTTCCTCTGAAGCTTCTCTGCTTGGGTTGTAGATGGCCATCTTCTTCCTGTGTCTTCACATGGTGTCTTAGTCAGCTTATGACATTTTACAATACCATAGACTGGGTAGTTTAAACAAAAAAAAATTATTTTCTTACAATTCTGGAGACTGAGAAGTTCAAGATCAAGGTCCTAGCCAATTTATTTTCTGTTCAGGGCAGACAACCTCCTTTCTGGCATGCTGATGACTTACTTCTCACTACATCCTCAGATGGTGGGAAGTGGTAGGGAGAAGAAGGGGGGTAGAGCATACAAGAACACATGCTCTGGTGTTTCTTCCTGGTTTTCCCTTACGACTTCATTTAACCTTTATCACCTCCTTACGGACAATTGTAGTCATACGCAGTTAGACCTTCCATGTAGGAATTGGGGCGGGGGGGGGCACACAAACATTCAGTCCGTCGCACATGGTCTTCCCTCTGTACCTGTCTGTGTCTTAATTTCCTTTTCTTTAAAAAATTAGGATACCAGTCCTAGTGGATTAGGACCCACCCTAAAGACCTCATTTTAACTTGGTGTATATTGGGAGTTAGGATTTCAACACAGAAATTTTGAGAGGATGCAGTGCAGCCCATGATAGGGTGGTAGTGTTATTTTCTCCCCTTAAGGTAAGGAAGCTGAGGCTCAAAAACCTTGTGTAATGTGGCCGAGATCACACAGTTGATAAAGGATAGAACCAGGATTCAAATCCAGGTAGATTGGCTCCAGAGCCTGCTTTCTTAACCACCTGGTCATGCCCCTACCTCGATTGCCCACTTTGGCACTGCAGTTGTTGTCAAGTTAAACTTGATTATTTAACTAATTCTGTATTGAGCATATGGGTTTTCACTCCTTTTTTTATCCTATTAGTACTGCATTGAACATGATTTTACAGGCATCACTATGAACCTCTGAAAATAATTGCTATTGTATAATGCCTAGAAATCAGTTACTCACAGAAATTATTATTAAATTTATATGTTTTTGGGAAGTGCCCTCTAAAACATCACCTGTTTATTCTCCCAGCAATAACCAATGAGTGTCAAGTTTTAGAAAGGTGCAATGGAAAAACTACTTCCTGTCTCAGGCTACAGATGAATTTGAATTAGGTACTTATTGGGGGTATCTCAGAGTGAAATGAAGGCCATTCTTTCTTTTAGATAGGGTGAAAACTGTATACAGTGATACATCCTAATCAATTCATGAGTTACTTTCTTTTTTGCAGAATTTTGATTCTGACATAAGCAGTGTGGGAATAGATGGCTGCTGGCAGGCAGACAGCCAGAGGCTTCTCAATGAGGTGATGGTGGAGCACTTCTTTCGACAAGGAATGCTGGACGTAGCCGAGGAGCTCTGCCAGGTAACAGTGTGCCAACTGTGAGAAGGTGAAAAAGAAACAAAGGAACTCTTCGTGGAGTTTTGAGTCTTCTTTTAGCCATAGATAGATTTTTAGTATTTTAATTATCAGGGCTGACCTCATTTTACTAGGAGATCTTGTTTGTAATTAGAGAAAATTAATAATCCTAGAACTTCTTAACTGGATTATTTCCTTATTCCTGCCCCAAAATGTTGGTTCTGAGTCCTCAACAAAATCATCAGAAGGGATGCTACTGTCTTCATTTACTCTTTTGATAGGGAAGGTTAGTATAGAAAAGAACAAAGAGGTTTATGTCTGGCCTTCTGTTCCAGCCCAACTTGAAGAATTTCATCAAACGAATTTCAAGCTAAAATTTACTTCAGATGCGTATCATTTATCTTTTATTTCTATTAGACATAAGTATAGGGATCTCAGAACAGTTTACCAAATACCATCTAATCATAATGGTAGCAGCTGCTGTGTACTGAGTACTTACCACTTACCTTTATTTCTCATGGCAGTCCTCCTGGGAGGTAGCATCTGAGGTCTGGAGCAGTAACTTTCCCAAGGCCATACAGGTTCTTAGTAAAGTAAGTAGGTAGGATTCAGTCCCAAATTTATGCCTCTTCAAATTGAGTCCTCTGCTACCATGTGCTATTGTATTTTCTGATAAGAACGGATACTACACTTAATCTTAGCCAAAACGCAAAGGAGCTTTTTTATTGTATTTTCTGTTGAAGGAGTGTAAGGATTAAATAATTTAATTACAGGCTAGTCTGTAAACAAAACCTCTAGTCCTTTTATATTTTAAACAGATAAACTATAACTCATGTCTTTCTCCATACTTTATGAGAATTATATTTGTCTATATAAAATTCCTCAAGTAAATTGTCATTTAGGATTGTTTGTTTATAAGTGACAAAGACCCAAAATACCACTGACTTAAACAATTTTTTTTTGCACAGAAATAGGAAGTAGTAAGTCACCTACAGCATATACTATGTTCCATGAAGCTCTTAGGGACCAAGGCTCTTTGTAGCTGTCCTGTTTCTAAGCTGCCCCCGTCCTCGTGGTCTAGAGTACCAGTGAAGCTGTACCTTTTGGTATTCCAGGAAGGGGCAAAGAGTACATGCTTATAGGTCATTGGCTAGAACTTTGTGTTGCAATCATACCCAGCTTTATTTCACATGACTATATGCCAAGCTAAAATTTAGGGGTTCTTCTACTTTGGAAAAGGAGAAGGAATGATAATGGGTCTCAGTCATCAGTCTCTGCCATAGAAATACATGTTAAAAAGAAAGATCTTGAATGGTTTGTCCCATATTTAATTTATAATATGCTTTTAGTATATCTCTTTATCCCAATAACTGCTAACAAAAGTTCTATCTTTTTTAGGAATCTGGTCTTTCTGTAGACCCCAGTCAGAAAGAACCATTTGTGGAATTAAATCGAATATTAGAAGCGTTAAAAGTCAGAGTTCTGAGACCTGCTCTGGAGTAAGTTACTGAGTTTGTTTTCTTTTGAATACTTTGAGAGAACCCTGTAAGAAAACTTCTTTAGAAAACACATTAGAGATTTTGAGATCTGTATCACATCTGGGGTGTGTGTCAGAGAAATCAAGGGAGAATTATTTTTTTTCTTTTAGCTAAGGGAATATGGGAGATGTATAATACGAGGAATGGTTAGAGCTTACTTCACTTATCAATTGATCTGAATTCCCATGAGAGAAAGGGTTTCCTGTATCCAGGCTATACCGTCACTTTAGACTAGTAATTATAACTGAGCACTGTTGTTCAGGCAGGCTGAGATTGATATTTGAACTTCCATAATGGGCCAGGTTCTGTGCTAGTATTCTAAAAAAACAATATAATTGTAGCTAACTTGTATGTATAAAGAGAGCAAAGATTGTTATGATGGAGTTCTGTTCTAATTACCACTGTAAAATTTAATTATTTACTGTGAACTTGTTATGCTATGAATTGTCTGAAATTACTAAGCCATGATAAATACCATCCTAGAGAGAGTCAGCAAATTTTTGTGTAAAGGGCCAGATAGTAAATATTTTAGGCTTTGCAAGCCACATAAAGTTTCCATCACATGTTCTTCTTTGTTTTATTTTACAACACTTTCAAAATGTGAAAAACCAGCTTGGCCATCTGGCATACAAAATGCGCAGCAAGCCATATATGGCCCTTGACCATAGTTTGCTGACCCTTGTCCTAGAATTTTTTAATGTGAGGATTACTGGGTTATTTATTGAAAGAAAGAAAGGGGGTGGAAGAAAAAGAAAAGTTCCTAAAAGGAAGAAACTAGCTGATAGAAACAGTGATGTTGTTGTGAGATCATGGCCTTAGAATCCTGGTGTTTTAAAGTTGGCAGTATTTGAGACTATTATTACCAGAAAAAAAATTGTTTGGAAGATCCTTGTTGATTTCATAAAACACACATTTTTTTTTCTACTAACCTATTTAATTTTTATAACTTATTTTTATTGGGTTCTTGAACCAGCCCAGATAAACAGGTAGAGATAGATACATTTCTGTGTAAATTGATAAATTAGAAATTCCTGTATAAGTTAAATATGAGATAGGTAGGTACTATATTTTTGAAGATAGATGTTACTTAAATGGTACCATTAGCTATGATGCATAGTACCTTTATAATTTTTTTATTTTTTTAAAGCAGATTTCAGATTGTGATACACCTGGAAGATTAAATTCATATACCTCTAATACCTCTTAAATAAAGTATGGCAACCACTCTTCTGTCTCCTTTCCTATTTTGTATAGCTAAAACATCTATAAAGGGGAGTGAGAGAACCTAATAAAAATATATGGATTTTCCAGACGTTATATAGTGATTTGGAAATAATATATGTTATTCAAGGTAGTATTTATTATTTATCCATTAATTTCTCAGGCTTTTCATCAGAACTTTTATTGAGAGTGCTTACTGTGTACCAGAGATGGTGCTTAGTATTTGGACTTCCGCAGCAAAGTATGCAAGGCTTTTTCCTTTTGGAATGAAGGAAATTGATAAGACCCTTTTAACTTTGTTCTTTTTCTGTAATATCTAAATGTCTTACTGATAACTGTATCATATACATCAGTTTTTTCTGTAAATGTTTCCTGTTGTCTCAAGCAATGCCTTTCAGGCAAAGGGAAGACGTGTTCCATCCAGTTGGTGGTAACAGTGTAAATTACAGTAAAAGTTTTTTCATTTCACTTTTCTGGGACTATTGCCATGTTATTGATATCTACCAGCATGGGGGGATGTAGTGATAATTATAGTGTTGAGTACTTATAATGTGCTTAGCATTGTTCTGAGCATTTTACATGCATTAATATGTACTTTAACATGCATTATTTTAACAGATGTTTTACATGTATTAACTTATAATCCTCATAATAATCCTATGAAGTAGGTATTCATTTTACAGAGGAGGAATTGAGGTCTGGAACATACTACCTGAAAATCAAAAGATAGAGAGTCAAAGGTTATATGATAAATGCTTTACAAAATATTTCCTTAATACTCTCCTGTAAGAGATTTACTTCAGCATATTAGATGGTCCATCAGCAATCCTTAAGAAACTCATTAAATTTTGTGTCCAGTGTTTCCCATGCATATTTGATAAAAGAATCCTTGTCCACCCACACTCTCACAATGCCTATTAAAACCCACAAAATTGGAGTTCTATGGAATATAAGTTTGCAAAATGATAGTTTAATGGAAATCTCTATTACAACAACTCAAACTCTTCCAATTCTTGCCTATTACCACTGGATATAAGCAGTATTTACTTAGTATCTTTTATGGGTAAGGTGGAGAAAATTCACTCTGTGTGTAGTGAAAGTTGAAAAATGTAGGACATCAGTTTGGGGAACTGTGGTTCAGATATAAGGGGAAAATATCTTTCAATTATGTGGCATCTTCTTTTTGTACCTCTTGGGAGGAAAGCGTATGGAACCACCTAAGAAGGGAAAGAGGAAGGTGAGAGGCTGCAGTAGTTTCTTCCAGGCAGCCTAGGCAGTTGAAGAGATAGGCCAGCCAAAAAAATTAATGTGGAGAGAGGCCATGGAAGAAGTAGATGAGAAGGAAGTCTGGAGAGTGTTAGCTAGTAATTGCAAATAGTGAGAGACAATGGAAAGAAGGCAGAAAAGAATGATGATATGGTAGAGAGAAATGGCAGAAGAACAGTTAATTACACTTACAGATCAGGAAGCTGCCTACTTTTTGTTCCTGCCCTTATATTGGTGAGTTTGTATGTCCAATGGAAAGGATACATAAGGGAAGATAACACAATGGAATGTAAAGGCTAAGAGGGAAAAACATATTCGGGATAATAATATCATTTTCCATGGTCTGTTTTATGTTTGTTGCTGGCAAAATTTAAATGAAGTTCTAAGACAATAGATACTCCTCAGGAGGAAGAATAGCACTCATCTGGATATATTCTCACCATAGAATTGAATAGGCAAGCCATGACAATAGGGAAATTGAGAATCTCTATAAAAATAAGGGGAAAATTGAAATAAACTATCCATGGAATTGTTTTAAAGAGGAAGGAGTTAGACTAGGCCAGGACAGGGAGTTAAGAAGAAAGACACTGGAGTTTGGTGCTTGTAAAATGCCTATTATTAACTTAGGTTAATAAAATCTCTTGGTTTTGTGGTAGGAAACTAGCAGTAAATAAGGCAATGTTATATTTAAGTACTGTATTAAGAACCACCAGTGTACAGAACTGTGCTGATCAATAGGGTGGCCCCTGATACACCTGCTATTAGGCACATTTACCAAACTGCATTTCTGAGAAACTCATGTAAAGTTGGAAGTGTGTGTATTGTGTTTTTAAGTAGATTTAAATGTGTAATTCTACAGTTTGTACAGTTTCTTAAATGCTATGTTAAGGACAAAGATTCACACCAATTCTGAGATGAGTAAAATGTTAGTAATTCCAGTGATGGAGTCAACTCTTATTTGAGAAATTACCATTGAAAATCTCTCAGAAATAATACGTTAACTATCCATTTCAGTCTCTAAAGCAAAGTTTATAGGGTTCCTAACTTTTGGCTGAACTTTCATTTTCATTTTTGCAGTTCTCTGAATTTTTATGCACTTGATTTAGTCACCAGTAATGATCAGCCAAGTCCATACCTGTGGAGTAAATAAATGTCACTCATTTCCCTGAACTTCATTTTTTACCCCCAAGACTACAGGCCTAAAGGAAACTAGAAAAAGGAGATACTCGTAAGCCTTGAAAAATGCAATGACAGATTGTAGTGGAGTGTACTGTGGGAATTGGCAAGAAGCATTTTTATTTCACTATTACCAGAAATAGACACCAGCACAGATTGGCCAAATTGTGAAAGGAGGGAGAAAAACAGATTAATTCTGTCAGTTAGATTCCTGGGGGAGAACCGCAAACTGAAGGTAGAATCTTGTGTTAATTATTTTTGGAATGATATGGAAATTCTAAATGTGGAGCTAACAATGTGCCAAGTCTTTTTTAGAGACCTGACAAGTAGGATAATTAATGCTTAGTGTTTCTGTGGGGTAACTGTGTAGATGTGGGTTGCTAATAAGTAAGTATGATTGTTTTAGGGTCTTTTTATGGAAGAGGCCCAAAAGGTCTGGAGGATGCAGGGGCAGTGAACAGAGATAGACAGTTGTTACATTGTGACCTTAATGGGTGTCATCTCTTTGTCTGCAGTATTTCTCTAAAAAGGAGTGGTTCCAAAGCTGATGATGCTCAGTTCTAGCCTACATTGGAGATTTGGGAGCAGAATTTCTTTTTAAAAAAAATCACAGTAAAGTTATAATATAACTGAATGTTTACTAGCCTGCTGGTTTATGCTATAGTGGTGATTTGTTTATTAAAAATTAAAAATCAAAAGTGTTCTGCTACAATGCCATTATCCAGAGTATAGCATTCTATATCCTCAAATCACTAACTAGATTTATCTCTTTTTGGTCATGTTTTCTAGTGCTTTGTAGACAGTGGGTTAATCTTTTGGTTCTGATTATAGTTTTGTGCTTTGCCGGTTTTCGATTTGGTTGTTACAAGGTTCATTAAGCCTGTGACTATCTTCTACCCCTATTTTTGCCCCATGGATCAAATACCCAAATACTCAGTGTGAACTTCTAGCTAAGAAAACTTGAAACATTTTTTAAGGGGATTAACTCATACATGCACATTGTCATATTCTCACACAGTTGCTTCTATAAAAAGTAAAGTGGCACAGAGTATTACATGGAAGTACCCATGCAACTTTTTAAAAATATAATCTTAAATATACTTTTTTTTTTAAGATTTTTTTTATTTATTTATTTTTAGAGAGGGAACGGGGGGGGAGAGAGAGAGAGAGAGAGAGAAACATCAATGTGCGGTTGCTGGGGGTTATGGCCTGCAACCCAGGAATGTACCCTGGCTGGGAATCGAACCTGGGACACTTTGGTTCCCAGCCTGCGCTCAATCCACTGAGCTACGCCAGCC